TCCATGTTGTGACTTTTTAGTTTTAATTAAAAACATTGGGTTCTATGTCTCTATTCATCATCTATTATTGCTTTTCTTTTTTTATTAAGAACCTTCTAAGATGATTTGACTTGTGTGATCAATGCTTTTCGTTTCTTTTATATCATTTCGTATGTGGTTTCTTAATATTTAATTACGTCTCTCGAATTGACTCAACTGCTGAACAAAAAATTCAAGCCATCACATGCTTTTTTGACGAAATCAACGTTCCTAAAGTGTTACAGTAAAATCAAAATTAATCTTATTTAGAATCAAGTTCCACGATCTACAACACGTATCTAAAATATTCAAGAACTATGTGTTCGAACAATCTTTTTTCAATCCTATGTATTGTCCTCGCCGTTAGCTTCAACTACGTGTCTGCACAAAAATGCGTGGAATCAATGTTTTTCAGACCTAACGGTACTTATGATACAAACCGTCGTCTGATTCTCTCAACTCTTGCTTCCAACGTCAGTTCTCGAGACGGCTACTACACCGGTTCGGTCGGTGAATCCCCTGAAAGAATCTACGCCTTAGGTCTCTGTATCCCAGGGACTGATCCAAAGGTCTGTTCCGAGTGCATCCAACTCGCATCTATCGGTTTATTACAATATTGTCTGAACCAGACCGAGTCATACGACTGGAGATCCCACAAGACGCTCTGTTTAGTTCGTTACTCAAACCGCTCGTTTTTCAACCAGAGCGATCTAGAGCCTACATTGATAATAGGAGATTTAGATAGTGGAATGTTTCAGGGGAACCTTACAGATTATACCAGAATATGGGACTCGTTCATGAGCTTTATGATCAACAGAGCTGGTCTAACTCGATACGTGGCCAATACAACTCGTCGGATAGGTTTGGATCGTATATACGTCCTGATGCAGTGTGTTCCGGGGATATCCTCTGTGGAATGTGAAACTTGTCTTCGAGAAAATATGCGTGTGTACCAGAACTGCTGCAATGGGTTCATAGGAGGAAGCATTCGCAAGCCGGTCTGCTTTTTCCGGTGGGATAATTCTGAATATCTTGGTGCCTTTGGTTACAAGCCATCGTTACCTCCTCAAGAATCTCAACCCACGCCAGAGGTTAGAGCGGTTTCTACGGGAGCTATTGTTGCGATTGTTGTTTCCGCGGCTATATTCGTTGTGCTGCTTGCTTTAGGATTACTTATTTGGAAGAGAAGACAATCTTACAAAGCATTAAAACCTCAAAGTGAGTTTTTTTTTCTAGTCTTTTTTCTTTTACCATTCTCAAATTACTTTTTGGAACATAGAATATATATAAATACTTGCTGCATACCTCTGTTGTTGCAGCTGATGATGGCATGACAAGTCCACAGTCTCTACAATTTGATTTTGCAACAATTGAAGCAGCAACGGATAAATTTTCGGGGGACAACAAGCTAGGTCAAGGGGGATTTGGTGAAGTTTACAAGGTACATCTATAGAAGCTATTCATATATGAATATTTGTAAGGTGTGTTAGAAAATGAAACAGAAATTATATATCTATGTAGCAAGTGAGCTCGATTTGTCAGGAATGCTAAGAAGCTTACCATATGTATCTTTGTAGGGAAAGTTACCAGATGAAACAGAAATTGCGGTGAAGAGGCTATCGAGAAATTCAGGACAAGGCACTCAAGAGTTCAAGAACGAAGTTGTGATTGTGGCTAAGCTTCAACACAAGAATCTTGTTAGGCTTCTTGGGTATTGCTTGGAAGGAGAAGAGGAGATACTTGTCTACGAGTTTGTTCCAAACAAAAGCCTTAATTATTTCCTCTTTGGTAATAAACAATAACACTACTAAGTTTAAATTATGTTCTTAGAAATTTTCTCTTACAATCCTAGTCTAATGCAGACCCAACAAAGAAGAGCCAACTAGATTGGACAACAAGGTACAACATCATAGGAGGGATTACGCGAGGGATTCTCTATCTTCATCAAGACTCAAGGCTCACCATCATACACCGTGACATCAAAGCAAGTAACATTCTCTTAGATGCTGATATGAATCCTAAAATTGCCGATTTCGGAATGGCTAGGAATTTCAGAGTGGACCAAACTGAAGATAATACAAGAAGAGTGGTTGGAACATTGTTAGTATATCATCATTACTCAAGTTTTTAAACGGAGAACAATTTTGTGATGAACTCTTCTTGTTTCTGATGAACATAAACATTGTCATGTGTATATTTGCAGCGGTTACATGCCTCCGGAGTATGTGACACATGGCCAATTCTCAACCAAATCTGATGTCTATAGCTTTGGAGTATTGATTCTAGAGATTGTTTGTGGAAAGAAGAATAGCAGCTTCTATCAGATGGATGATTCTGGTGGCAATATGGTTACACATGTGAGCAAAAATCTCAATGTGTTATAATACTCCAGTTTTTATTGTGATCATCAAAGGTTTTGATTAATTATGAAGATGAGTTTCTTGGTAGGTTTGGAGGCTTTGGAACAATGAATCACCCTTAGATCTCATCGACCCCGCGATTATGGAAAGATATGAGAGGGATGAAGTCATTAGATGCATCCATATCGGACTACTATGCGTTCAAGAAACTCCTGCAGATAGACCAGCCATGTCTACAATCTTTCAAATGCTTACCAATACCTCCATTACTCTACCTGTGCCTCGACCACCTGGATTTTTCTTCAGGAACAGACCAAATTTGGACCCTTTAACCTATGGATTCGAGCCGGGCCAATCCAGCAGCAAGTCTATTCCTTGTTCTATAGACAGTGCATCAATCACTAGACTCACTCCTCGTTGAAACTCTTGCTTGTGTATTCTCAGGGCCGTGCTTGGACTAATTTGTTCCACTACTACATATTATATTGGGCTAATTTGTTCCATCTATTATATTAAGATATACTTATCTCTTAC